TTTTTTTTTTTTTTTTAAATTGACCTCATCTCTTTAAAAAAGAAAAATATAAAAAATGAGTAACTATAGACAAGTAAAATCAGAAATTCTATGGTGCCACGTATGGCACGTGTTATGGTGCCACAATATGATATGACACATTATGATTGGTGCCACAACATGATGTGTGATAATTGTGCCACCAATCACAATGTGCCACATCATGTTGTGGCACCATAGAATTTCTGAAAGTAAAATACCGTCAATGTGAACTTTCATCTCTTTTTTTTTTAGATGACCACTGAAGATATCAACTAAATATTCGAAAAAAGTTTTATCTCGATGTTTTAGAAAGTTTTATTTGTACGTTTTGAAAGAAAAATAAATAAGGTATGTTCGTAACATTATTGATGATTTTATTACTTTAAATTCGTTTATACACCATATTTTGAGATAATTTTAAAGGATTATATCCATAATTTAATATGTGATTCAAAAGTTTGAAATACAAATTATTTTTGTAACTTTTATGTTTAGTAAAATCAAAATTTTAATGAGAAATTAGTTTTTGTTTAAAGTCATTAACATCATTATTATTTTACATATAAATAGATAGATGACACTCGTGTTACAGGGATCATTAAAAATAAATATTTGTACAAATATAAGAAAAATGAGTTGAGCAAATTAATCACATGCACTATATAATAAAATAATCAAAAGTTTTAAAATCAAAAGTTAAAGAAATGAATATTATCCTTCCTTTTATAATGATATCTTTAACACTTTATACAAATATATACTTCCCTTACACAAATGTATATTTTCATTTTTTTTCCAATAGATATGATAAGTCAGTTATTTCATTTATTTCATTCTATAAATATGTTATTTCATTGTATAACCGTTTATTTTTATTTAATTTTTGAGCTTATTTTTTGCTTCGTGGCATCCGAATTGTTGTTTCACGCCTCACTCCACAAAGGATTACTTTCAGAGACTGACAATGGACTTCCGGCAGTCGATCGCCGCCCAATCCGACTTCACCTCGTTGCTCACGAAGGAACTCATCTCCACCCACGTCATGGACAACAACTTCGTATTCTCGGCCCTCTCAATTCACGTCGTGCTAGCCATGCTTGCGGTCGGGTCGGGCCTCCCTGCACGCGAACAGCTCCTGCGCTACCTCATGTTCGATTCGATCGAGGAGCTCAATTCCCTATCGTCGCAGATCTCCACCTGGATGCTAGCCGACGGCGGGCCACTCGGCGGCCCTCTCCTGTCCTTCGCCAACGGGGTTTGGATAGAACGCAGCCTTGTCCTGAAGCCCGATTTCAATGAAATCGTCGAGAATGCTTATCGGAGCGCAGTAGGTCATGTCGATTTTCGGAATCAGGTTGGGTTTCGTAACTTCGCACCAATTGGATTTAGGATTTGCGATTAGCGATAGTACAGTTGATTTCATCATATTTTGTGTTTCGTTTGACTAATCGTGCTGCAATCAACTATATTGTTTCTGGTAGTGCCGTCATGTAGTGTGCTCACCGTGTCGTTTGGCTTTGTGTTTCTGACTCGTGCCAGCAGTTCTCACCTCTAATTTATGTACCAACTCTTTCATTAATTTGATTTTCTCTGAAACTCTTCAGTCTGATGCGGTAAGAGAAGCAGTGAATGCTTGGGCCGAGGAGAAAACAAATGGTGTGATAAAAAATTTGCTCTCACCCGGCTCAGTCGATAGTATGACTATGCTCATCCTTGCAAATGCACTCTACTTTAAAGGAGTCTGGGCTTCAAAATTCGACCCGTCTCTAACCCAAGTCCACGACTTCTTCCTCTTGAACGGAAGTTCGGTCCGTGTCCCCTTCATGACCAGCTCCAAATACCAATATGCGCGTGCCTTTAACGATTTTAAGGTTCTAAAGCTACCATACCAAAAGGGCCAGGACACGCGGGCATTCTCCATGTACTTCTTTCTTCCCAATGCCAAGGATGGCTTGCAGGCGGTCGTCGAGAAATTCGGCTCGATTTCTGGGTTCATAGAGCACCACATGCCACATGAAAGAGTGGAAATGGGGGATTTTCGCCTCCCCAAGTTTAAAATAAGCTTCGATTTTGAGGCTTCGAAGTTTTTTAAAAAGCAAGGGTTGGTTCTCCCCTTTCTCGGTGGTTTGACCGAGATGGTTTACCCTTCCCCGTATGATCCACTCGAAATCTCCGGCTTTTTTCATAAGGCGTACGTAGAGGTCGACGAACAGGGCACAGAGGTTGCAGCAGTTTCTTATGGCGTCATGGTTGGAAGTTCGCTGTACATGCCTCCACCTGTGGACGTGTTCAACTTTGTAGCTGACCATCCTTTCCTCTTTGTAATAAGGGAGGAGACAAGTGGTGTTGTGGTCTTTGTTGGGCAAGTTGTGAATCCTCTGCTGTCTGACTGACTTCATAATGTGAAGCCTGATCTTGATAGACTCCTTTTTTTCATTATCCTTAGTTATGGGTTGTTGCAAATGCTTTAGTTGAATTTCAGCTTTCGGGTTTTTGAAATCATGTATTTAATTTTAGAAATTTAAAAATTATATATATACTAAAAACACGATAAACTGCATTAATCAAACATAGTCATTGATGATTCAACGAGAACCAAAATAATGCTTAGTTACGCATAGATAAAAAAAACAATAAATATAGTTCATAGTCTTTTTCAAAAAAAAAAAAACAAATAAATAAACCAAACTCCTTCCAGTGGATTGTGATCCACACGGCTGGCACAATGAATTCTTCACAAATGATTCCTCAATTCAATTCTCCTCCATGCACAGTCAGCCATCGAAATTAAGAGTTGATCATTTAAAAATAATAATAATAATAATAATAATAATAATAATAATAATAATAATAATAATAATAATAATAATTTAGTGGTCAGCCTCTCGAAAGTCAACAGCCAAAAAATAAGTCGAATTGAAACCCCTTTAAACTCTTGCAGCCACTAACCACTAATAGCTAGAGTCATAATCTTCTTTTCTTCTTTTTTTCTTTAAAATCCTTGGTCATATTTAAATTGTCCATGCCATTGATAATCTTTATTGTCGTGCTGTGGTGGAAGTCGTGGCCATACTCACGGTGGAAGGTGGTTGGCGTTTCCTCACATATTTCCTAGAGAAGGCTAGCTAGCTCAGGTGAGGCAAAACGTGCAAGAAATCCGCAACCAAATTTTGAAGTTTATACCACGAAACTGAAGACAACCGGGATGATGCACTCCCGAGCAGCCGCACAAACAGGCGCGCAGCTGCGGTAGTAGGCCGTCCCACCTTCGCGAGGCGCCAGCTTCACTCCGCAAAGAGCCTCGCGACCGAACACACGCAACATTCCGTGCGTGAAACAGGGGACTGTTTGTAATTTTCTTATTTATTAGTTTGTTTTGCTAATTTGTGATTTTCTAGGACCATTGTAGCAATTTCGGTATTTTACGTTCTTTAAAACTCACGTATTTTTCATGTGGAAACCTAGAAAACGCTCGCCTATAAATCTCGTAGTTAACAGCGCAGAAGGCTATCACAATTCGAATCTTCCACGATCTTCAACAGCCTCTCGCCAATCATGGACATCAGGCAGTCAATCGCCGCCCAAACCGACTTCTCCTCGTTGCTCACGAAGCAACTCATCTCCACCCACGTCAAGGACGAGAACTTCGTAGTCTCGCCCCTCTCAATTCACGTCTTGCTGGCCATGGTAGCTGTCGGGTCGGGCCGCCCTGCACGCGAACAGCTCCTGCGCTACCTCATGTTCGATTCGATCGAGGAGCTCAATTCCCTATCGTCGCAGATTGCCACCTGGGTGCTAGCCGACGGCGGGCCGCTCGGCGGCCCTCTTCTGTCCATTGCCAACGGGGTTTGGGTCGAACGCAGCCTTGCCCTGAAACCGGCTTTCAAAGATACTATCGAGAATGCTTATCGGAGCTCAGTAGGTCATGTGGATTTTCGCAATCAGGTTGGGTTTCGTAACTTCGCACTAATTGGATTTGGGATTTGCAATTAATGATAGTACAGTTGATTTCATCATATTTTGTGTTTAGTCTGGTAGTGTCGTCTTGTGTTGTGCTCACAGTGTCATGTGCCAGCAATTGTCAACTCTAATATATGTACCAACTCTTTCATTAATTTGATTTTCTCTGAAACTTTTCAGTCTAATGTGGTAAGAGAAGCAGTGAATGCTTGGGCCGAAGAGAAAACAAATGGTGTGATAAAAAATTTGCTCTTGCCCAGCTCAGTCACTAGTGCGACTATGGTCATCCTTGCAAATGCACTCTACTTCAAAGGAGCCTGGGATTCAAAATTCGACCTGTCTCTAACCCAAGTCCACGACTTCTTCCTCTTGAACGGAAGTTCGGTCCGTGTCCCTTTCATGACCAGCTCCAAGAACCAATTTGGGCGTGCCTTTAAGGATTTTAAGGTTCTGAGGCTACCGTACCAAAAGGGCCAGGACACACGGGCATTCTCCATGTACTTCTTTCTTCCCAATGCCAGGGATGGCTTACAGGCGCTCGTCGAGAAATTCGGCTCGATTTCTGGGTTCATAGAGCACCACATGCCACACCGAAGAGTGAAAATGGGGGATTTTCGTCTTCCCAAGTTTAGAATAAGCTTCGATTTTGAGGATTTGGAGTTTTTTAAAAAGCAAGGATTAGTTCTTCCTTTTCGCGGTGGTTTGACCGAGATGGTTAACTCTTCCCCGGATAATCCACTCGAAATCTCGCTCTTTGTTCACAAGGCATACGTTGAGGTGGACGAAAAGGGCACGGAGGCTGCAGGAGGTTCTTATGCATCCATGCTAATGGATTGTCGATTATCACGCGAGGACGTGTTTGACTTTGTGGCTGACCATCCTTTTCTCTTTGTAATACGGGAGGAGACCAGTGGTGTCGTGCTCTTTGTTGGGCAAGTTGTGAATCCTGAAGCCTGATCTTGGTAGACTCTCCTTTTCTTAATTATGCTTAGTGATGGGTATTATGCTATAGTGACACAAGTTTGTGAATTTGTTAGGGGTTTAGGTACTTAACTATCGAATATTCATTGCACTTTTAACTTTTGCATAATGGTTCGCATAACACTTCCATGTTTTCGAGTAAAGAGTTTTTTTTTTT